ATTGGGAAGGGGGGGATGACCTCATTTCTAGAAACTTATCAATGTGGAAGGTGAGGCCTTAAATCTGCATAATAACCTTACTCTTGTTTACTGTGCTTTAGTGGTAATCTCCTGTAACTGACTCCCCCCACCCCCAACATCCTCCTTTGTCTTTAGCTGAAGATGGTATTTAAGACGAGAATTTTTGCTATTGTGTTGAGAAACGCAGTGTCCCTGGTTTCTCCCATGTATACTTGTTATTAAACTTGGTATTATTTTCTCCTGCTAACCTGTCTTGTTAATTATTTGGCCAGCCATAAGAACCTTAAGGGAAAGGGCATGGGGGGATTCTCCCTCTTCCCCCACACCATCTCAGTTTTATAGATGAAGAAACTGAGGATCAAAGAGGTTAAGTGACTTCCCTAACATCACAGAGGTGCTGGCAGAGTCAGGATTTAAACCCAGTTCCGCCTAATCATAAAACTTGCCCTCTTTCCACTATACCATGCTATGTCTAGAATGAAATGTCCCAGTCATTCTGGCCCTGCCTTTTAGAGAAACATTACTTCCTATCTTTAAAAACATTAGGAGGCCGTTTACTCTGGTAGTTCAGACCATGAGCTCTGGAGTCAAACAGCCTGGGTTCAAATTCCATCCCTACCATTTATTAGCTGTGTAACTTTGAATAAGTTAATTTCTCTGAGCTTCAGCCTCTCCATCTGTAAAATGGGTATGACACTAATAGTTCCTTTCCCATAGAGTTGTTGTAATTTTTAAAAAGATGATCCATGTAAAATACTTAGTACAATGCATGGCAAATAATATGCACACCCTCAATAAAGCATAGCTATTATTATCATTATATTGCAGATACATCTCAAAATTCTTTTGGCCTTGTTGTTCATCCAGAGTTTCTAAATCATCTAAATCCTGATTTGCTATATCCTAATTGTCCCTTCTGTGTATTCCTGTGCAACAGAAAGTACCATAATTATAATGCATAGGCTTTGCCTTTTTGAAAGTGATTTTTACAAGATATAGCTTTAGATACACAACACAAATTTTATTTGTTCATACATTAAATGGTTAATTGCTCAAATGCTGCTCACTTGTTAAGCTGTTACAGAATGTAATGACTTAATTGTCAAATTGCTTTAGCATTTCTTATATAAAAGACTAAAAATAGTAATTCAATTATTTTCTTTTATCATAGGATTTGTCATTTTGGCCCTGTGTGATCAATTCCACTTGCAGTCTTCATAGCGGGGCCTCGAGATGACCAGAGTAAGCTCCTAGTGTATATTCTCATCTGCTCTTCTGTTTCTCACTTTCTGTGTCAGGTATCAAGTTTGGGCATTGACTTGAACAGCTCTTTTAGGGAAGCCAAGCACAAAACCAGCCCTGGGCTGGACCCTCTTGATTTGTCTTGTGATTTGAGTGAGCTTGATTCAAATAAACCATCTGAACAGGCCTTGGATATTTTCAGTACCTGTGCAGTCATTCCCATGTCTTATTTCCTTGTCTACTGCTATCATCACCTGCTCTGCCATGCTTTTCAAGGAATGGCAGCATATGGCCCTCAGCAACTTTAGTGGTACCACCCATGCCTTCCTTTCCATAATTCTTGGCCTTCTTTACTCCATAGCTTTTGAGGGGCTGGCCCAGTGGCGCAAGAAGTGTGCGCGCTCCACTGCGGCGGCCTGGGGTTCGCTGGTTTGGATCCCGGGTGTGCACCGACACACCACTTGGCAAGCCATGCTGTGGCGGCGTCCCATATAAAGTAGAGGAAGATGGGCATGGATGTCAGCCCAGGGCCAGTCTTCCTCAGCAAAAAGAGGACTGGCAGATGTTAGCTCAGGGCCGATCTTCCTCACAAAAACAAACAAACTCCATAGCTTTTGAGATGTCCCTTTTGGTCTATACCTGTTGCCCTCTGACTTGAGATTAATAAATCTAAACGATACCCTTACTCTTCCATGGAATGAAAATGAAGGTTACCAGACTTTTCTCCATCAACCTTTTTTGAGTCCAGAAGATGCCAACTAAAATGAGGCTGAGAGTATGAGGAATCTTAAGAGAAGTACTACTGCATAGTCTTTGGAATAAAATCTCCTTAGGCCAAGATTTTTTATTAAGGTATTGATAAGAGGGAAAACGGGTTTAAAAAAAAAAAGGCCATCAATTGCTTTCCATGTAAAGGCTATTTTACATGGGGTTTATTAACTTGTTACGTTTTTTAACTAAAAATCCTTTGGAGATTTGTTTGTTATCATAAATAAATATGAAGTTCTTGCTTGATTTCCTTGTATCTGTTTTCCCTAATGTTCATTCATGGACTCATGGGCAAGGGCCTCAGGGGTAGTCTGGTTCCAGTTTTCACAGTATGCTTGGTAAAACCCTAGAGATCCTGAGACAGTGCCTTAGGCACCAGGGGAGGGGTGCGAAGGGTGGGGTGCGGAGACAAGAGCGGGCAGGCCTCCAGACAGCCCTGCCACCAGAGCAACTTTGCTTTTCTATTTGATATATTAGGCTTTCAAGTAAGATTTCACTTCAGAAAGAGTCTGCTAACTCAATCCTTTTGTTTTACAGTTGAGTCTTGAGTTTCCTACCCTGGATATTTGAAATGAGGACTTTGAATGTCATGAGGGCTGACAGTGCCACCTTTCTATCAAGGTTCTGAAAATCAATTTCTGAGATTGACAAAACAAACAAAAGCTCAAAATCTTGCTCTGGTACTCAAAATTCTTGAGGACGGGGGCAAAAGTTCTCTTCTCTTTCCCATTGTCTTGTGCCTAGTAGTGTCAAACACATACTTGGTGCTCAAGCATATTGTATGAATCTGACAACTCTCTTTCTCATTATGTATATTAGCTGAGCAGGCAATAATACTGTAAAACAAAGACATTTAAGTTTGTGTCTAAGTGTAATGAGAATATTTTAATATTAAATGAAGGAAGAATAAGAAGGAATAATGATATAGTAGTAAAATAATAAATAATATGTAATATAAAAAGGAAGAATAAGGAAGAATGAAGAATAAGAAGGAAAAGACTAAAGGACCCTTCCTTTATGACTTGAGGTTTTACATGAACACACTAAATTTTGTAGGGAAAACAATCAACAGGGGCATATATACATACAAGGTATATGCCAGATATCTACCCTAAAAGCCTGATCTCTCCTGGACTTCAAAATGCCATTATTCTTACTACTCTGCTGCTGCTGCTACTACTATCACTTCTTCACCATGTACATGTTCCCCAAACAGCAGCCAGACTCTCCTCAAACTTAATAACTATCACATTACTCATCTGCTAAAAACCCTCAAATCGCTCCCCATCTTGCTTGATAAAAGCCGAGTCCTTGCAATGGCCCTACAACACCCTGCACAATCAGTGCATGTCCGTGCCCCCAGCTGCGATCTGTCTCATGAATATTTCTCCAACTTTATTTCTTACCATTCTCCTTAATCACTTTACTCCAGCGATACTGACCTTCTGACTATTCTACATTGGCATCACAGCATGCGGCACCCACCTTGGGGCCTTTGAACTTGCCGTCACCTCTGCCTGAAATGCTCTTCTCCCAGATACCTACATGGCTTGGTCACTTAGGTCTTTCAGGTCTCTGCTGAAATGCCACCTCCCCAAGGAGGCCTTCTCTAACCATCTTATCTAAAATAACAACGCCCCACAAACATTGCCTATCACGCTTGCTCTGCTCTTTCTCTATGGCCCTCCTGAGATCGACATATTTCCGTGTTTGCTGCCTGTCTCCCCTTCACTAGAGCTTAAGCTCCACACGGGCAGGGACTTGGTTTCTGTGCACTGCTGAATCCCTGGCATCAAAAACAGTGTCTGGCAGAGTAAGCACTTAAATGTTTGTTGAATTGTGTTTTCATGAGGATTTTAAAAAATTTCCTTGTAGTGCCTATATGGGGGGGAAGTTAAATGGGGACTTGAGGCTTCTAGAAATGTGTATTTCCCCAACTTTCATGGATCTGCACTAAAGATTCCCAACCAGGAGTTCCACTTTAGGTCTATACTCCAGTCTACTGGGATTTGAAGTAAGAGGAGGGGAATCCAGTCAATATAACCTCTTCTACTACACTCAGGGAATTGACTGTCAGGACTGAATTCCTTCCCTCCCCATCTCATCTCAAGGTCCTCTTTTCTCACAAAAAGGTCCGGGACCCTTGAATACTGTGCTGCCCCTTGCAGAGAGCAGGGACCCAGACTTACTACACTTCAGCCTTGGAACCAGCCTACATCAAATCTCTCCAGGGTGCAGGTGATGATCAGAATAGAAAGCCTTCTCAATCACAGACGTGAATCTTGTAGAAGCTTTTATTTCAGTGATCAAAATGCAGTAAATGGAATCTATACTGATTTACATTAGGCATGCACCTCTACCTGAAACTGCTGTTAGTTTTTGACTGGCCTAAGTCTTTATAACTTATTTAGGCACATCTTTGAATTTTTTGGACCCTGATATACAGGGTAAGTTAATTTCTTCCTTGTGGCAGTTTAGTAATGAGAATTATGTTCACTGGCTAGATTCCTTTATAACTAAAGGCCTCTAGACTCTCAGGCTACGTGTACTACCTCGAGACCATACTTTATATAGATATTTAAGTAAATCACAGTATCAGGGAGGGAGATAATCTAGAAAGCTGCAATGTACTGTATGAACATTCCATAGATTTTTTTCCAGCACTGATAGTCAAACACTAGATAAGGAGACCTATAGTTAGGTACCGAATTACTCTTCCCCCACTGCTGCCCTTTCTGAGAGACACAAAGATGTGTATCAATCTCCCCATAAATCTGAAATGAGTCCACGCAAATGAGAGTTTTTACCTATGTGGTCCCACTATCAAATTACAGAAAGCAGTTCCACCATCAAAATTATAGGAAGTAGTTAATGGGACTTTGAGAAAAGCATAGTCCCACATACAGTAATATGCATCTAGTAGAGTTTTCCATTCATTTGTCAATTGTTTTCACAAGATTAGCATTAAAAAACACGACCAAATACGCATATGACCCTGAAACCCCCCCCCACGCAAAATTGGTCTTTGTTCATTCTCAGATGACAGGATGTCCCAAGAGTGACAAAGGTGGGAGCCAATTCCCCCATAGCCTTTTCTTCAACCATCCCATCAACTGCTCTTCATTTCTTGAACTACCTTCCTTTTCCAAAAAGTAATGCTAAGATCAGTCAGACAGGCTTTCTGAGAAGACTGGCTTGGATTTCTGGGTCTGTTCCAGTCGATTCAAGATGAACTGGCTTCTATCAATGAAGCGCTCAACGCAGTTCACAAAACAGGCCTCAGCCCGACTGTCCAACTTTGGCCCAGGCTTGTCCATGCACTTCTCCTGCTCAGGACAAGATACAGAATCACAAAGGGAACTTGGAAAAAAAGGTGGGGGGGAGTAACTTCTTGTTGCTTAGAGGAAAAACCTCACCCAAAAACAGTATCTGATATGTTAATAATCGTCACATTTGGAAGCTTACTTTGTGGCGAGCAATTTTATATTCAATTCTCACAACAACCCTACGGAATAGATACTATTATTAATCTTCATTTTACAAAGAGGGAAGCTGCGGCACAGAGATACTTTGTTCAAAGTCATAGGGCCAGAAAATGGTGGAGCTGAGATATTAGAGCAAGAAAAATGCAAAATACAAGTGAAGTAACCCTTCGCTGAATTTGGTTACAACTCCACAATACCCCTTGCATTAAATGCCTTTAAATTAACTGCAGAATAAAAGGGTGACAGGATAAATCATTGCAGCAAGACACCCTAAAACCTACCAAAGAAAAAAGGAAAATCTATGACCTGAGTTTCTATAATCTTGTCCACTTAAGCCAGAGGTTCTTGAATCCTCTCAAGATGAATGGAAAATTGTATGAATTTTCCTAAAGGGCCCATAGCTTATAGATTCTTAAAGGAGTCCTTAACCACAACCCCTTCTGGCCCAAATGTAATGATTAATCACAGATTTTTTTAAAAGAATCAAAGCACTCTGGTCCAAGGCAGACAGGAGTTAAGCAAGTATTTGTTAAGGGTCAGAGTCCAGCAATATCATAAGTTTATGGGAAAGGGACTACGGAAACCAATGACTGTATATAGTTCAAGTTAAATGGTTCAGATGAATTTTGTTCATTATTCTCTGCTGTGTACACAAGCCTCAGACCCTCCACTTCCAAGGAAAATTATCCTTGGCTTCTGAATTCTGTGAATTTTGGATGTCAAGGCAGGAGAGTTATGCTGTCTTTGGCAGCCAGAGAACACTTTGATCCCAAGCAGCAAATGCCTTCCGCCCTTTTGCCAAAGTCCCCTCACAGGGCATACTCAATTCCTCAACCTTCAGACCCGAAATGCCTTGGTATTACACAACAATCCAACAAGAAGGCAAATTAGTGTGTATGTTGGAGAGATTACACCACTTTTATAGTTAGTGGGCTCATTCCTCATGGGGGACAGTTAGAGCAACTGGGTAATCAAGGTAAACCCTCAGGAGTCCAGGAACAGGAGATTCACTGACTCTCTGGGACTCGGGGTTCCAAAAAATAAACTCCCAGTATTGGGGGTGGGGGCTGTTATTAGTCTTAGTGACTAGCACTAGGCAGCTTCAACCTCCGGTGCCTAAAGTGCTGGCTGCGACAGCGGCATAAGTCTTCTATGATCCTGAGTCTTGTACACCAACAAAGCCGAGGTCTGGCGTGACAGTCCCCCGAGAAGTGGAGTCACCCTTTCTCCCTTCCGGCTCGGCCTGATAAGACCACGGAGTGCCGCTGGGTCCTCCCCCTCCCCGAATCCCGGACGTCCTGGCGAGTCCCGCGGGGCAAGGACGGGGGCAAGTAGGTACAGTGGCCAGGTCCCAGACCCAGGCTCCTCACCCAACAAAGTTCCGTCATCTGGTGCACCAGCTGCTGGAAGCGCTGCTTCTGAGTCTCCACCTCGATGAAATGCTGCAGCTGCGGGTCCACCGAGCCCAAACCCGCCGCGGAGGAAGACGAGGACGAATCCATCCCGGCGCGGCTCCGCGTGCCGAGACGTGCTCCGCGCAACTCACCGACCTTCACGTGTCTCCGCGACGGAACCGGAACCACAACCCGCCGCCTCCGGGCCCGCCCCGTGAGCGCACTGCGTCGGCGCGAAGCCTGCGCGCGGGCCCGCCAGCTCTGTCGCCCAGCCGCCCGCGCGTGGCCCTCGTCCCGTCGCCCGCGCGCCCCGCTGCCGCCCGCGACCCGGCTCCCGCCCGGGACCTCACGGCGGCGCCCCGCCTGCTCTCCGAGGTCTCAGGACTTGCAGCCCGGCGCCGTGGCGCTGTCGGGACGTTACGTGAAAAAGAAAAGAAAAAACTAGTGTAAAAAAGGAAGTTGCTTCCTACCACGTGGCCCGTCGCTGGCCGGCCCAGCAGCCCCTGCCCTGCCCGCTTCCAAATTGGCCCGCGCTTTCCCGGCTGCTGTGTGCTGTGCTGGTGCCGGGCCGGTCACTTAGCCGCCCTGGGCCCCTGGCTTTAGTTTTTTGAAGGAGTTTTCCCCTCCTGACGTAGGGAAAAGAAGCTCCAGCAGAATTTGTCCCCGACTGTCAGATTCATTCCCATAATATTGCATGCCCACTGTGTGCCAGGCACCGTGCTTTGGCTTGTAAGTTCGTCTGTGATTCAGAGGCAGATTTTCCCAAGAGCCAGAGGGGTTAAATGCTGAGGATCCTGTCGAGTTCTCAAGGCAGGAATATGCCAAACAAATGCCACATAATAGTTTTCTGGCACACTGAGATAGGGCGCTTCAGGGAGGCTGCATGATCGATCGAGATAGCAAGAAACTTTCATGCTTTCCAGTAATTTTATTTTATCAAAACACCCTCCCATCCCGTTTTTATGACACCGTTTTATTCTTGCCAAATTCTGCCTCCCTCCCCCCAAGCTCTAGTGCCTACCCAAAGAGCTGTTGGACCCCTCATGAGGCTATTTACATCCCTCCCTCCCCAAAACTGTTTTCATCCCAAATTCAGTCTGTCTTAATACTCTTGGGAAATTTCCTCTCTGGGGAACAATACCGGGCACAATAATTGATTGGCCTTTGCTCAGAAGGTACTGGCCCCGGGGGAATCAAAGAAGAGAGGCGTTCCTAGATGTAGAGAGGGGCCTTTGTGGATTCAGTGAGAGCACAAATGCTCCAAGGCCTGTAAGCCTGGGATTTCCTCAGAGAAAGTGAAATTGGGGCTTGTGGAGGAGAGGAGTAGAACCAAGAAGCTTATTGGTGAGCTCAGGATTCTTCATCCATGACATCTAGAATGTTGCTCAGAAGAATTTTGAAAGTGGGACGTTCATCTGCTTTCTAAAACCAAAAAAAAAGTAGAGTGTTATAGTGGGCTAGCATTCAGAATTCAAGAGAAGTGCAATGAGTTAGCAACAAATATTTATTAAGTGTATACTATACGCCCAGTAGCATACCCTGTCAATAAAAAAAAAATACAAAACAAATAGAAGTGCTCCATAAAGTCCTTGTGCACGTTTCATCTTTAGTAACTCGGGTGATGAGGACAATTTGCAAATTAAACTGACAAACATATTGATTAAAACTGAGGGCAAATTCATTGCATAATTCTACACCAGTGCATTCTTATTTTGGATCCTCAAGTGAAAAATGGATACCAAACAAGTTAAAGTGGTTGACAACTGAAATAAAAAAGCTGTGATAATTTTTAGTTTGGTTTCAAACACTGTTCCTATCATCCTATAGCCAAAGTTAACAAAGGAATTAACATTTCAAGACCATGGGCTGCATCACTGGGCAGGGATACTGAGCACCTGGGAACCTTTATTATCACCGGCATCTAGATTAAGACCCTTTGTGACAGCTATGGTCCTTAAGCCCCTGAGGTGTTTAGCGATTCAGGGCATATTTGTGCCAGAAAGGTCTCAATCCATCAGAACCAAAGCGTCATCCATTTCTTGTTCCTTTGAATCAGTGGTTCCCAAACCTAGCTGAGGTTTCAGGAAACCCAGAGTTTCCTGGGAAGTTTAAAGAGACATTTCTGGGTTCCACTCCAGACATACCTAATCAGAATCTCTGGAGATAAGGTCAAGTCATCTATAGTTTTAAGAGTTCCCCAGGGACTCTGATGTGCATCCAGTTCCGAGACTACTACTTTAAACAGGCTGTGGAGAAAGTGCCTGTCTGAAATAGTAACTAGCAGAGTGAGAATGTCCTAGTTGGGGAGCGAGCGTAGCCAATCACCCTTAATCCTGCATGGCACAGGAGAAAGAAGAGAAGTGGCTCCCAGGGGTTCTCCTCCACACTTTCTTTGTGACCTCAGTTATTTGTGGAAGGGAAAGGAGCTATGCTCTGGTTCAGATGCACACTTTTCACTCCACGAAGAGGGCTCTAGATTCATATATATGTGCTTGTTGGACACTGTCTGTTTTTCCATCTCTAGTGGGGCAGAACTAAGAGTGGAGCATTCATTTCCTACTAGAGATTAAGGTTGCTGAGGACCTACTAAAAAGTGGAGAAGGCTCTTCTGGAAGAACCCAAGGTGAGAGCTGCAAAGCATTTGAGTAATAGTGGGACTGGCTCCCTATTTTCAGAATACATCTGCCCACATACCCCATAATGCACCGTGTTAAAAATAAAAAGCACAAGCACTACCTATTTTAGTTCCCTTTCAGGCCTTAGGGTTTTAAAAAAAATCTCATTTAGGCCTTCATCCAGAAAAGATTGGCAGCTAGTAAAATAGAAGAAAAGGCCAATGACTCCCAAAGGAATGGAGAGAAATTTCTTTTCTTTTCTTTTCTATTTTTTTTGTCAGGAAGATTAGTCCTGAGCTAACATCTATTGCCAATCCTCCTCTTTTTGCTGAGGAATATTGGCCCTGGGCTAACAGCCGTGCGCATCTTCCTCTACTTTCTATGGGACGCCACCACAGCATGGCTTGACAAGCGGTGCGTCGGTGCACGCCAGGGATCCGAACCCGTGAACCCCGGGCTGCCAAAGCGGAGCTCGCGCACTTAACCGCTGCCCCACCAGGCAGGCCCCTGAACACAAATTTTAATGACTTTTCTTTTTTTCCGTACACTTGTCTGAGTGCCTTTGGCTGCCTGCTTATGCTAGGTGACATGGGCCCATAACACCTACTCTCCCTAAAGCCAAGTTGGTATTGGGGTCTGCTAATGATACTCTGGTGAGAATTGGAGTGGGCCTGGGAAAGCCTCTGGCCATGAAAGGATTGGGGTGCAAGCTGGGTTGGAGAACGTGTGAAGCTATTACTCTGTGCCAGCTGCCATGAGACCAGGGAGAGTGGGGACTGAGTGCCTGGCTGCCTGAATGGAAAAGTATGTTCAGGGGAATAATTTAAGAGGTCCAATAAAACACTTACCTCATGCCAGCAGCTGTACATGATAGTATATACCCTCTCTGAAGCTAGATGAGGCCTGTAGAGACGGAGGCCTTGGGCAATGTGTTCGGCTGTTTCACTGTTAGTAAATCTTTCATATGGCATCTTCCCCAGAGAGTAAATTTCCCACATCAAAACCCCTAGAAGAGGAAAAAAAATGGATTAAGTCAGTTTGCAGTCTTTTGGGTAGTAGGAGTCCTAGTCTTCTTAGAGCAACCTCAAAGATTAGATTCAGCTGGTTCCACGCCCCCCCCCCACTGCATTTTGCATTTTGTCCAAATTTCTGCTATAGGACTAACCATACTGGAGGGTGACCAGGGTTGCACTAGACTATTAGCTCCTCTAGGAGAGAGACAGCATCTTATTTGTCTTTGTAGTTATAGGGTCTGGCAGAGTCCGTGGGACATAATCAGTATTCAGAAGCTGTCAAATAGTGAATGAATTGTTCCTTCCTCTCAATATATCATAAGTTCTAAGAAGGCAGGGGTCATGTCTAGTTTACTGTTTTTATCCCCAGAAACCCGGGTGGTGGCTGACATAGTAACACTCCCTAAGGATTAGATGAATGAAAGCAAGAACAAATAACAATCTCTCTGTGCAGGTTACAAAGGGTCAGTTTCCCCCTTGCATTCCTCTTCCTTTAAGCTGCATAATCTGTATAATCTTATCCACTCACCAAAAGCCCATATGTCAGATTTGCTGCTGAACTTGCTATACATCAGGACTTCTGGTGGAGACCACCGGACTGGAAACTTGGAGCCTACTGAGCTTGTGTATTCATCATCCAGAACATACCTGCAGAGGATTCAGGACTTGTTACTGTAGGATTTGGAGAGCTTGATATTTGCTTAAATTTTCTTGGCACAGTCACAGGAGTTGCACAAATACACACCTACAAGCCAATCAGTGAGTGTCTTTTACAAATGTTATTTTTATTTATTTATTTTTTTTGGTGAGGAAGATTAGCCCTGAGCTAACATCTGTTGCCAATCCTCCTCTTTTTGCTGAGGAAGATTGGCCCTGGGCTAACATCTGTGCCCATCTTCCTCTACTTTATATGTGGGACGCCTGCCACAGCGTGGCTTGATAAGAGGTGCATAGGTCTGTGCCCAGGATCCGAACCTACGAACCCTAGGCCACGGAAGCAGAGCACACGCACTTAACCACTGTGCCACTGGGCTGGCCCCTACAAATGTTATTTTTAACATATTCCTGTTTTCATATCTGATTTAGCTTTCTTGATTGACAATATGGTTACAGCAAGGATGAAGTGAAATAAGATCTAATAGGTACTCCCTTCCTCTTCTCTATCCCTCTTTCCTTTCTCTTTTCTTCTCTTGCCAATCCTTCTATTCTGCAGTTGCCAGTGGGAATTAGACTAAGAAAGGAAGGAGGGATGGAGTAAAGTCAATAGGATTAGCAGATCAAGATAAGGTATTGGAGAAATTAGCTTAAAAAAAGAGCGGGGGCGGGGGGGTCCAGCCCGGTGGCGCAAGCGGTTGAGTGCCTGCGCTCCACTGCAGCGTTCGCAGGTTCGGATCCCGGGTGTGCACCGACGCACCGCTTGTCAAGCCATGCTGTGGCAGCGTCCCATATAAAGTGGAGGAAGATGGGCACGGATGTTAGCCCAGGGCCAGTCTTCCTTAGCGAAAAAAGAGGAGGATTGGCAGATGTCAGCACAGGGCTGACCTTCCTCACCAAAAAAAAAAAAAAAAAAAGAATAT